TGTGTGTGTGTGTGTGAACATCTTCATTTTTTTTTCTTCTTAAAATAACTTATTAAATAGTTACAAACCAGGTTCAGGTACAAGAGTGTGGTCCTAAGTCTGAGCCAGTTTCAGTTTCATTAACACCTTTCCTATGAAAATATAGTCATATTTCTTTAAAATATTCTTTAAAATATGTCTATATTTTCATAGGAAAGGTGTTAATGACTCATGGCAGCCAGTTTCATACAGTCCACAAAATGGACTCTACTTACTTACTCTGCATAAGTAAGCCATTTTTCTGATAATGTGCTCTTAAATTTCCACACTAAATGTCACTCACATTTCTTTAACTATAATGGTCTGGTAATCTTCCTCACAAAATGGGCAGGATGAATCTCTGTTCTCTACCCAAGAATAGCTTTTAGGCTAAAACGCAGACTTAAATCCTCTCCACCACACTGTTCTTGACTGTTTAATCTTAGACAAATCCTTTAATACCTCCCAAAGTCATTTCCTTGATACCTAGTATTGACAACTCCCTAGTCTATAGGAGAACCGAGGAAGAGAAACACTCAGTACAAGTACTTACTAGTTTTATTTCTCTTGTAGATTGCTTAATGAAAACAAAATTCATTTTAACACTAACATGTTAAGTCTCGGTATCTAGGAAAATTCGTGTGTAAGTGTGAAGTATTAAGTAATAATGGGAATTCAGGAAAAAGGAAAAGAAACCACTTGGCTGGATGTGGAGACAGTTACTTCCTGATTTAGCTGCTTACTTTACAGAGTATGCCCACAAACTCTATCTACACTGTAAAATTATAATACATAAGGTCATTTACAGTGATTCTAGAATGGATGAAAACAGCCATTCTTTGAGTGTCTGCATAAATGTTTTCTCAATAGGTCACATGTTGAGAATCATAATACTTATCAACAGTAAGTCATTAACTTGGTATTTGGGTGAAGGTTACTTTATACAAAGGAGGAAGGGGTCTTAAAGAGCTCTGAGGTACCATGAAGCAGGACATCTCATATAGTACATCAGGTGTACAGATTAAGAATAAGGGGCCGGAGAGATGGCTTAGAAGTTAAGAGCACTGGCTGCTTTTCCAGAGAACCTGGGTCCACATGGTGGAACCCAATGATCTGTAACTCTAGCTCTAGGGGACCAAACATCCTCTTCTGGCTTCAAGGCACTAAGCATGCATGTGGTACATAGACATACATGTAGGCAAAACCCACACATAAAACAAAAAAATAAGCTGGGGCTCTAGTTCGGCAGAAGAGCATATGCCTAGCATGTTTGAGGCCCTGAGTTCCCTTACCAGAAAAACAGAGGAAAAGACAGAAAAGAATGACAAGGAAGGAGGAGGTAAACAGGCTAAGCCTGGAAAGAATCAATATTATCTCAGCTAAAACAGTCCCTCCAGGCTAGTTAATTGCTCTAGGTCAGTGGTTCTCACCTTCCTAACGCTGTGCGACCCTTTAACACAGTTCCCCATGTTGTGATGACCTCCAACCACAAAATTATTTTCATTGCTATGTTATAACTGTAATTTTGCTACTGTTATGAATCATAATGTAAATATCTGATATGCAGGATATCTGATACTTGACCCCTGTGAAAAGGTCATTTTTCCTCAAAGGGGTCTCGACCCACATGTTGAGAACCACTGCTCTAGGCCCTCATCAAAAAGATGATCGCAACAACCTCCACGGCAAAGAACACTTGCTTTGGATCTGCTCAGAGTGTTGTTGTCATAAAACACGCTCCACCCCCGTCCTTTCAGACCCTTTCTGGTGTCAATGAAGAGATCTCACCTGTGTGGTAATTTCTAAGCCAAGGCCCTTGGCATCCACCACAATTAGAGTGAGCAGAGTCTGCAATACCAGGGCAATGAAGGTGTTCACACCAAACACGAGGGCATAACGCTCCATGCTGAGGTTTGCAGCAATCTGAAAACTGAGAAAGGAAAAACAATGCTAGAGTACAATGACCTCTTCCTCAGCTGTTACATGTTTTCACTTTAAATGTGAACACAGCCCCTTCTTTCCACTGCTAATGACCTCTCCAACAACGTGAAGTGTATTGTTACTGTATGATACAAACCTTATAAAAATCGCAGGATAAAAACACAAGAGAACAAACAAACTTGGCCGAAATACTCCTGAGGAAAAAATTTATAATAACTACAATATAGTGTGTGCTCCCATTTGCCTCTTTTAAATAGAAATTTTAATTTTTTTTTGGTTTATAAAGAAATCCGAGTTTATCTTTCCATAGCTTTTCCTAATACTTCTCTGAGTGAAGATACATACGTTGCTATGGTGATGAGAACCATGTAGATGATTCTGAAGACAACATAGGATGCATAGCACACCCAGATGTTCCCCACAGTGTCCATGATATACACTGCGGCAGCGATCAGGAGAGAACACAGGAATAACGTCATTTCTCCCCAAGTTGACCAAGATATTTTTATATAGCCAACTGCAAACACAGCACTAGCACCTACAAAACAAAGAAAAAAGGAATCTAGTTACTGACGAAACACACTCTAGTTCAACACATTGAAAACGCAGTTATTTTATTACAATCTTTAAACTTGTAATTTATGGAGCTCAAGACTATGGAGTTCCTTGAAATTCAAGCAGAGAATTCTGAACTTGGTGGGACAGCACGGTGCCTCTGAGATGAGACTCAGTCAGGGTATGTGGCAATTAGATGGAAAAGGACGCAGACCCAGGGATGTTGCTAAGGAGACAACTGTTGGCCTGATACACAGGCTAGAGTCACAGAAAATCACTGCATCTGCTGTGGCACCATGGCTGGGTGAGTCTTGGTCCTTCAGACCAAGAAGCAATCTAGTGTATGTGAAACTGCTTCTCCTCCCTTTAGTGAAATGCTGCTGCCGCCACCGCTGAAAGCTACACACAATACAGGAGTGCTGTCTGGGTGCCAGCCATAGTCAGCAGGTGCTTATAGCTGTTAGGTAGACTCTTCCAACAACCTTATGAATCAGGGCAACAAATCAAAGAAGGACAACAGAATGTGTTCTCAAGGACACAGGCTCTGAAGCCACCATGCCCGAGTCCCAATCTTTACCTCACTATCTACCATTTATGTGATCTTAGGCAAATTATTAACATGTCCAAAATTTCCAATGTAAAATGACAACAATAACTGCAACCATCTTGGGAATTTTGGAATACAACAAATATACATGTTGTCTACAGAACAGTGTTCGGTACATATTGACACTCATCAGACATAAGCTACTGTCACAAACTATAGTATACTGTTCTCAAACTCTCAGTCAACATGGGTAGGTGGAACATGGACAAGTGAAGAAAACTATCTAGAAAATTAGTGCATTCCACTTCCCCCAACGTGTTTGTCAGTCATAGCCCACTACCACTTGACGACATCCAAGTTTTCTCTTAAATTAGAAAATCGGAGCTCAAAACAAACCCTTCCTTTGGGCTACTTCAAATTTGGGCAGCGTGAGTAAAGCTGATCATGGTTGGCTGGACTGCCTGCGGACTCTCCCACGCTTCCTCACCGCTTACCCAGCAAGGTTGAAACAGCCTCCACACCGCCATTGTAGATAACAGCACTCTGAGATGGCATCACCTTCTCCCACAATCCCTGGGTGTAGTTCACCACTTGAAAATAGCCGCAGGTGGAGAGGGCCCACCACACGGACCAGCAGAGCAGAGGGCGGGAAGAGTAACAGATCAAGAAGTCGTTCCACAGGACCTTCAGCACACGCAGCCGGTCTGCCTTGGGCTCCTACGCAGCAAATGGAAAGAACTCAAACACCTTGGCAGGAACTGCGCAGGCAACCATGCAAACTCAGTTTTCTATCTCAAGGGTTTTTTTTTCCTTTGTGAAAACCAACTGCTTATTTCAAGTGAGATATATATATATATATATATATATATATATATATATATATATATATATATATATGAAAAGAACAACAATGTGTTGTCAAGGACATGAGCTTTGAAGATACTAGGAGTTTTGATCCTGACTTCACTGTTTGCAATGACATGACCTTAGGCAAATCATTCACTATCCGAAGTTTCCACTGTAGAATCAATCAATCAATCAATCAATCAATCAATCAATCAATCAATCTCTCTCTCCCTCCTTCCCTCCCTCACCTCCTTCCCTCCCTCACCTCCTTCTCTCTCTCTCTCTCTCTCTCTCTC